GGTGGTTGGTTTTGTTGGTGTGGTTGGTCTTTTTGTTGTGGCTGTGTTGTCGTTGTCGCTGTCGTCGTTGTTGTGGTTGTCCTTGCTTTTTTGTTTTTTCTCAGGGTTGTGCGTATGTGTTCTGATTTCTGCTGCGGGTTTGTTGATATTGCTGCTGCTGTATCACATGTGCGTGTTTGCGAGGCGCCAGCATCGAGGAGCTCAGGGAGACAGCGCGGGATGCCTTGATGAAAGGCCAGCAGTGCCACTCCGGTCGCCTCATGGCCCATGTCTCCCCGTGCTTAACCTGCCGCAACCCCCCGTATTTTGACTCGGTCTTCACGGCAGAATCGGGTAGGCGTGGTGGGAATGGTGGGATGTGTGTCCATGATTTGGAATGTCCGGCTCTTTTGTTCATTGACAGTGATCTGAATACAGGTGGATGTAGCGACCCAAAGACACACAACCTTGCACACATAGACACATCAACACCCAAACACACATGAAAAGGATCCATTGCATGCAAATCATGGCTTTCGTTGTTCTGGTTTGCTGTGGCAAGATCACCTGTGCCGCAGTGCCGCTGGAATATAAGTTCGATGTGTTCGCTCTGCCTATGCCCTTATGTTGTCATAGACTTTACATCCAACGGGCTGGGGTACATTCATTGTTACTGAAGTTTTGGAACACTGGATTGCTAGGAGGGCAACATTTGCCCGGTCAGCCGCAGAGTCATTCTGGATCTGTCCAGCAAACTCCGAACATTGCTGTCCCTTGGTTCTGGCATTTTTGAATAGCTGAATACACGCAGATCGCTCTTTGCAAACGTTGGGTTTCTTCAGGAGAAGCCCGCCTCGCGGGGGACATATTTGTGGTGGCCTGGAGTCACAAGAGAAGCGTCAAAACTAGAAGTCACGCCTTTTTGGGGAGGGAGGGACGCTTGGAGGCTGCATAGCAATTTGGGTATGGGTCAAAATTTAAACCACAGATAACCACAAGTCTTGGTCCATGTTTCGATTCCATTTACCAGGGATCCATGTTTGGTACCTATTTTTGACCCACAGCCATGAGACCTCCCGTTCTGCCATCCGTCGAAACTGGCGGCTCTCGAGGCGCCTCTTCCGGGCGCCTCTTTGAGGTGCTGCGCCAGGGTGGCTGGGCATGCAATGGACATCGACACGGTTGTTGCGAAACATTGTACATTTTGGCTTATTGTGGTTTAGTGGTTGAAATCCCCACTTAACTGCTAAAATTTAACTTTTCCCTCCCCTTCCAACGTCAACCAAGTCGATAGCAGTCACCACCTGAAGTCTCCCACCAATGAACATGGAACGGTTCGACGTTCTTTTGGTGGTGCTGGTTTGGACCGTTTTCCGTTCAAAGTCACCCCCTGTCAGGTTCCATGTTGATTGGTGGGAGGGTAAGTCTCCTGTGGCGTGATGTGCTTTATGCAGATGAGGAACGGGAAATTGCGTTCTAAGTGCTGGTCCATAGACGAAATCAAGTCTTTGTCGCTTTGCGTGTGTTTGGGATATTTGGCCAAGTCCCAGCCCTGGACAAGTTTGAGTCGTGTTGGCTTACATTCGAACAGCAAGGTTCGGTCGGCCAACTTCCGGGGTACTTGAGCCTTGAGCCTGTGTCAGCGCCAGACGTATTTACACACAACATTCTGCTTTGCTTGCGCTTGACAAAGGAGAGAGAGACATGCTGGCAAAGCTGTTTGCACACCAGGTCACGGTTTCCTGAGATGATAGACTTGCCAGCATGTGTAGCCAGATCATGGTTTCAAATGCCTCCGAATACCATCGATTATTCTTGGTAACATTTGGCGCGGCTTTACGCAAAGGTTCATACCGGACACTTATTTTGGGTTAATCAATTTCAGTGCTGTAGTTGCTTAGTTCGTGATTCTTGACTACTACGTTGGCGCTAGGTTGGCGGCTTTTGTAGGATCCGTGTTGGTGATGCACACGTTTGTGTTCCGGCTGGCTGGTGCAGCAATCACAAGCCGTCTTTCAGTCGCAGACAACCTGCCGCCCCGGCCTGCTTGCTCGCTTGCTGCATGTGCATCGTTTCTTGCCGTGTGGTTGACGAGTGTCTGTGGGACAAGCTCACCCTGTGGCCAAACAGTTCTGGGGTTGTGGAATATTCGCTTCTCATCATTGCATGCACTCCTCCACTGCTTTTGGATGGCAGCTGCCTGTGTGCCTGGAACACGAATTCCAATCCGCGCTAGACGAGTAGGCCTCATAGTCCAGCCTCTTTGCCCACTTCATCAAACACAAAGTACATTTGTGCTGTTGCTGACATGAGTAGCCTTCCTTTCTGTTGGGTAGACATGCTTGGGTTTAGAGGAGGACTAGCTTTGCTTTGCAGCGCTTTCCAGTTGCATCATTGCAATGATGCTTGATGTTTTTAGCTTTGTAACTTGAAACAAGCGGCGCTAGCTACAGAACATGCAAGACACGTTCAATGTGTTTACTTGACAAAGATTGCCAAGCAGAATTCCTTAAGGAACCAACTCATAGCTAGCTGAATGAATCGTTTAGGTGGGGCCCCATCGATCCGTAGGCGCGGATCTGTTTGCCCCAGGCAAGGCACCCAGCCAGCCGGGCTCGCCGAAGGGGCAACAGGCGACCGGGCACCGAGGTGTTTCGGGCGCGTTGTGACCAACGTTTTCAACAGATCGTGATCCAGCCCTAGTTGACTCCCCAATTTAACCCATTGAAAGCATGTTCAGCGAGTTGCCCACAAGGGCTGCGTTACATGGATCGTGACTTGCGCTGCCGGTGAGTTTGGAACGAATTACCCAACCAAAGAATCTGGGATCGAAGGCCCAACATTCTGCTACATTCTTCGCAGAAATTCATCCGAATTGCAGCATGGTGTCACACAGACCCGGCAGTAAATGCGGCCAGAACAAAGAACTTTGCAATACCGGTGCATCTGGAAACCTTGACAGTCACGAACTTCACTTCAAAAGAGTGCCCCGCAATGTGTCAACGTCTCCGTGCTTCTCAACCGCAACCAAAGCAGCCCTTGATTTTTTTTGGCACCCTCTTTGGACGGCCTTCTCCCACGCGCCAATGTCATGCGAGGGCCGTCCTAAAACCCCAGTCTTCGGTTTTAATTATCGACGAACGGGGAGAAGTAAAAGTTGTCCAAAACTGTGCGCACGCAAGGAGCGCGCAAGTGCGGAAGGTTCATGTACTGATGTTGCCCAGCTTTATGAAAGGAGGTGATATCTTTTCACTGTACTTGTGCTTTTTGAATGTTGCTTGGGTCATAAGAAGGCCACAAGCTTGTTTGCAAAGGTGCGGCGTGTTTTTCAGTCAGACGCCAAACGAAGCCAAAGCTTCTGCGGTCATGACTTCAACAATCAGCAGCTGGCACGACAAGATCCGCGCAAGCCGCGCGCAAGCCGCGCGCAAGTTGCGCGCAAGCGCGAGAATCCCCAGCAAGACATCAAGCCATTCTGTTGGCAAGAGTATGTTGCTCGCCGAGAATTGCTAGGAGCGACCTCGGCGGGAAGAGCGTTTGTGGGTTGCTGTGTGAACGACAAACGCACTGCTTAGAAAAGCTTGCGCGCAATCCACACGAAAACTTCGCAAACCGAGGTTAACGAAACCTAGTTTCTGCGTCACTGTACGCGCGCAAGTCCGCGCAAGTGCCGCGCAAGTGCGGCCCAAGGACCCAACCCTGGGCAAAGGAATATAGGACAACCCCCATGTGCAGGGTAGTCACCAGTCACTGGTCACTCACCCTGGCGCCGCGCCCACACTTTGGCCACACGCAATCCTAAGTTGGTGCAAACACATTGCCCCAACGCTTGAAGACGGTCAGGCCTTGCAAACCTTGCAAACAGGCAACTGAGTTGAGACCAGTTCGGGCGGGCAAGGGCATCTCCAACAAAGCGAAATCTGCTTCTGCTTTTTCTCGCCAGCATTCCCCTTGAAGCTTTGACATGTTCCCTGCAAATGACCTTCCTTTGAACGCGTGTGGTTGAAAAATAGGGAATCGAGGGTCACTCCTCAGGCCGGGTAAAACCATTTTGCAGGAAAATCGTGGTGTCCCTTTTTGGGCCTTAGAACATTGGCTAAGAAAAGAAGCCTCATATTCTAGAGGCTACATGTCTCTTGTTTTCTTGAGGGCCATGTTGAGAGGTTGGGCCTTGAGAATTATGGCATGTTTTTGCATTTTGTAGATAGGCTTTCGCTCATGTACTTTCATGTAGTTGTATGCATGTTGCCGCATAAAACGGGTGTCCACGCGATTTCGTTAGGACTCAGAGACAACGAGCCTACTACACAATGACTTTTGGATGCCAGCCTGGCTCCAATGACATGCATCCCTAGCTTCAAATTTAACGACCACCTGGTGAAAGCAAAGTGCCTCCTCTCCCGAGTGCAAGCATTTTGTAGGCAGCTGCCCACATACCCCCTGCCATTTTGTAGACTCTTTTACTCATCCCCGATCTTACCAAAAGATCTGCCCAACCCCGCCCCCAAATACAAAGGGGAACTGCAAAGATGCTGTAAGGAGGATGTAGTCGAAACCTGAAGCTGACATAATCGAAAGAACTGCCACCTCGCTGCAACTGCCATGGTGGCATGTACAAACAGCAGTACTTGTATCAGGTTGGCGAGCAGTGTGCCATGAAGATGGCGTTGGCGATGCTATGTGTTTCCCAACATATGTTGAACATGCATATTATGTATATCATTCCGGAAAGGGCCTTCAAGTGCTTGGCACCATGATTTGGCAGAAGGGCTCCTTCGCATCACTCAACCACAGTACCACGGCAGACAACATTGGCACCGTTTTGCCCATTGCTACGGCCACAATCCCGTACCTCTGTTTGCAGACCGCTGTTGACTCGCCAAAAACGATTGGTTTCTCAAATGGCCGCAATGAGTTCTGCTTGATAGGAAATTGTCGTTTGAGGTTTACCCTAGAACACGCCGCCATCATGCAGTCTTGCGAGAAGCACTAGAATTCCATGCTAAATGAAAGGTGCATTCCAGTATGCCAGTTGAGCATGAAGCAAGCTAAAATCAAGCCGGGGTAGTTGGAGGTGGGACATGAAGTGTGTCTAATTGTCCCACTGCTGGTTTGTGTATCCAGGACACGCCGGAGGGCTCCGTAGTGGACATCACAGAGCCCTCGAGCACGGAAGTGTCCAAGCGCCCGTCGCTGACCACACGGGTGGCAACGGATCTGGTGCAGGACGGACACCGGTCGGAAGCGGATGACGTGGCTGTGCTTGTCAAAACCGTTTTGGGATCCCATTTTGGGGTAGGTGCACCACTCATTTTAGAACCTATTTTAGTGGGGATTGGGATGTTCACTGGAAGTACGGGCTTTTGACCCATGGCCACATGGGTACAGGTTTTTTGCTTGGTAGGTGGGATCATGGGCCGGGGATTGGGTGGAACCGCCCCTTTCGGGGCTATGAGTTGGCAAAGCGCGAATCCTGCACAATTACTGCGGGTTTTGAGAAACCCACATGGCATCGTTTTCAGAAAAGGTGGTTTGATGGAGTCACGCGCAAGCCATTACCTTGCCTTTGGTAGACGAACTCTGGGCACTATTTAGCATCCCTTTTGATCCTTTGATCCATTTTACGACGGTGAGGCAATATCTCCTTCACTGAGTGTATTTTGGTTTGCCCGTTTATGCAGTGATCCCTCATTGTGGGAAGTGCAAGGTGGCTGACCGACAAAACAGCACTTTGCCAAACAGAGCTTTGGACCTATGCACGAAAGACCATGCGCCCGCACAGCCCGCACATGTCCTTAAGCGCTCCCAAGAAACGTCCTCAATGGAAACACTGTGTTGCCAAAAGAGTATGCCAGTATGCCGCTCGTCATTGCCACAAACGTAGTGAAGCAAGCCAGAACACACATTTGTAGCAGAGAACGATTCAGTTAATTTGGGTAATCGATTGGGCTAGGTGAATGACAATGACAATAGCATGGGTCGGCGACGTCCAAACCCAGCTGTAAGAACGTAGGACACATCAAACCCGCGGATAAGATGGCACCAAGTCCTTGAGATTTGGTCCCCAAGACTTGAGATCAAGCGAGGCCAAAGAGGGCAGGGGTTCGTTTGTGACTCGCTCAAGCGGTTTGAGCACTCGGATTTTGGTCGTGCGTGCAAGCATTTCAGCCAAGCGGTCGTTTGTGCACTCGCCGAACGAAAAATCGTAATACGTTCCAGCAACACGCAGCGGTCATAAAATTTGTGCACTCGCGGGCACATGCTCTCGTTCACCTGTGCACTCACGGGCCAGTTGCGCGCGGAGGTCGGGGCGTAACTGTCTGCGGGCCCCGTGCCGGTGTTGTTGTTTTGCAGAGCGTTGGTGAAGTGGGGCGGTGGAAGGTAGTGCAGCCTGATCCCACCCCACACCAACCCCTGAAGCCTATTCATCTCACCGCCACAAACAGAAACCATTTCCCCAAAAGCGGCCGCATCCCAATGAACGTGATCATTTGCCCCACTCACCGCACCTCTCACCACACCACACCGCACCACATCCCAACCAGCCAAACCCCAACCCCACCCCACCCCACAACATCTCACTGCGTCCCAAAAACGGTCGAATCATGAACGCGATCCCCGCCCCACCCCCGCCCACCAAACCCAGCCCGACCCCACCCCACCCCACCCCACACCCCAGCGCCAAACCCCAAGCCCACCCCACCCGTCCCAAACACGTTCGAATCACGAACGCGACCATCTGCACCCCCACCAACCCAGCCCACCAAACCCCAGCCCCGCTGCGTCCACATCACATCCCCACCCCACCCTGAGAGCGTACTTGACCGCATGAGTGCGCAGATGCCCGGAATGTTTTGTGAGTGCGCAGATGACCTCAATCTGAGTGCGCAGATGAACCCCTGCCCACCAAAGGCGTGCAGCGAGATGCAATCCAGACAGCTTGACATCTTACTTCCTGAGCTCATGGACTTTGAACTTTTTGGGTTTGGACAATTTTAGTGGTAAATACGAAGTTTAGACTTTTTTTGACCAATCCACTCAGAAAGTGAGATACTGTGATTGACCAAATTCGAGTTCATCTTGCTTCGCCAGGCCATGAGCAGCGACAAGGACAGTGACGCATGTGATTTCGGGGTCCCCATAACCAGCTGATTCATCCGGAGGTCCAGGCGATGGGGCTTCATTTGTCAGCCATGTCTTTAAGCAGGCTTGCAGGACAGTGTTGATCATTTGCTAGGCAACATCCCACGCCCATGTCTGGATTGTTGTTTTCGCACAACTTCTTTACCAGAAGAAGGTACGCGGTGGCTTAGATCTTCCCAAGTTGAACCCTGCCACCGGCCATCGTTCCAATAGGATGTTGCCATTTGAAACGAAAGCCGCTTATTGTGGCACCTGTGGCACCCAACTTAGTGACGAACGTACTATTGCTGCAGTGTCAACTAGTTTCAAGCACGAGATACCGATGATCAATTTGATGTTTGATGTGCAACCAGCCTCCCGTCCATGTCTTGCGACTCTGTGATTGCAGAAATGGACAGTCTGTACTCGTGTTGAACCGGCAGCTTATTTCTACTGTTGCATTCAGTATAATTTTCATGGACGTGACATTCTGCAAGCAGTACCTCCGCAACTCAACACTCGCTCAAGGTGTCTCGTGTTGACACCCATTTTTATCAGGATGTAGACGGCTGGAGTTGTTTGGCAGATGTGGCCGACGTGCCAATTGCCGTGCGGTCCCTATGTGAACAGCTGCCAAGAAAACAGAAGAACATTACGTTGCGGTTGCCTTCAGACGCGGACAGACATTGGGCTTTGAGGACAGTGTTGCGTGTTGGCCATTCACTGCGATGGCATTGCTCGTTGACGAGTACTTATTTGTGAATGAATTCAAATTGGTGTTGCTGACAACCAAGCTTCTTTGCAGAAGCAGACCCAGCTTCAGTTGGTCACGTCTTTGATTGTTGGCTGTAGTGCCGTCAAACACTCGAAGTCAAACGCGTGGTCATTCAGGTGTGCTCGAATCAGGAGAATTTGGAGAAGGAGAACCAAGCCATCAAAGAACAGGCCATAGGCTTAGTCTGACTGGGAGGGCAGAACTGGCTTCCTCTCACTTCAGCGGCTTGCCAATCGGGTCATTGTCTGAAGTGTGCTTAGCCAAAAGGAAAGGAGACGCCAAGGTCACTGGCAACAGGCAGCGGAGTGGAAGTGCAACAGAGAAAGAGCCCACAAAACCACTATGAAACGACCTGTCTTTTCTTTTTTTAATCAAGCGTGGTACGCTTGTTTGTTTTGCTGCATGTGTGTGTGTGTGTGTGTGGGTGTGTGGGTGTGTGTGGGTGGGTGGGTGGGTGTGTGTGGGTGGGTGTGTGTGTGTCTGTTTGTGCGCCTCCGCGCGCTTGTCAGAGATACGAGTCGTTTGTGGTTCCCACGTACATCTGGCTTCTTGCTGGGTGACACCAGTAGACATTCAGCTAAGAGCAACATCGCCGTCGTCCAACTTTGTCATGTATGTGCCCAGAATCCGCATCCGACTGCTGTCCCTTCCGGCTCAAGAGACACGACATCATCATTGACATCTGCCTGCAGAGTAATTCTGTTTGAGCAAGTCACACGGAAGTATGCGAAAGCTTAGCCGGGGTCGTCTCCCAGGTGAAGCCAGCTCCTTTGCAATGCACTTCCGAATTTGAGTTTGCCAGGTTGAGGACCTGAACAGCACAACATGATTACATAGATTGCTTCCAACGGGTGCTGCCAGCCCAGCAACACATCCCATGCGCAACACCCAGAACATCTCAGAGCCAAAAGCGTTTGGAAGTCCAGTGGCAGCGCATCCAGGCACGGGCTGTACTGAAGCTACTCAGGAATGTTCTCTTTCTGAAGTCGATCCATTATCAGTGTTCACTATTTGCTCGGCTGTTGTTTGTTTCACAAGAACGCATCATGGAGCCATAGATGCTCTGACAGTAGGCCTGGATCTGTATGTTTTGCACAAAGGTTGTGCTTGACTGAGTGCTGCATACTTATCGCTTACTGTTTGGTATTCCCTTACTTGGATAAACGCAATGATAAGTGTTGCTGACTCATGTTGGACATTTCGAGCTTTGTCCCAATTCCTGAAGTGGTGCTGTTAGCGACTACACACATGCTGTGACACGATGGCTGGTTCAAGGAGAGCGGAATCCGCAAAATAGATGTGACAGAAGTGTTTTCTTCGCTGGCAACATTCCACTCCATGGCCATCCACATGAACACCTTGGCCTTCTTACACAGTTAAAGTCACACGCAAATCTGTTCAGAGAGATCAGATGCACTCGCACTCGGAGACTCTTGTCGCAGCTCTGTCTCATTGCTTCTTGCAGGGCATGCTGTCGTTGTATCAGACGGAGTGTTCACCTTGCTTTTAAACAGCCATTGATTCAGCAGAAGCATCCATCAAGGTTGCAGATTGACGAATGTGGCATCAGAATAAGCCTAGGGTTGACAAAGACACCGCTTTGACTTGTTGCCGACACCATCAGAAATGTTGCGAAGCCTCAGGAGCTTCGGACATGGAGCTTCGGATTTGGCGGCTTTCTGGAGAAGAGCAAACGGTGACAATCTCGCAGGAGAGGGTAGTGTCACTGAACATCGGTTCTTGATGTTTGGCTATGTTACATGTTGCTATATGAGGTTGTCAACTTTGACAGCAAACGCCTGCGAGCAAGTTGCCACTGGTTCAACAAACCCGGGTTTTAACAAGTTTAGCCGAGGTTCCTGGAGAGGTGCTGCCGCGTTGCAGAAAAACTATCTTGCATGAGCAAGGCTCCTCTTGGATGTTGTTGCAGAAAGGAGGCTGCCCTAGTTGACAGCTACACATGTGTTTATAATATGTGTATGTATATAGAGTATAGAGAGTTTTACATGAGTACATGCACGTGTAATCATACAAACATTGACATGTGCATATGCGCATGTATGCATATTCACATTATGAGTAGTTGTATATGTATATTCCAGAGCTTATCAAAAGGCCCTTGTAAGGACTTATACTGTGCAGGATCATAGCACTGCAGGCCTTTTTGCACGCGCAATATCTGTTGTTGCAAGCCTGCCAGTGCAAGTGAACGGGATTGCAAGCGCAAACGCAGCAGCAACAATGGCTCCAGAGAGCTTGCTGCAAACAAGCAAACAAACAATCAAACAAACAAACAAACAAAAGGGTGTGGCGATGAAGTCGCGAAATATTCTTGGAATATTGCTTTCTCGCAAAGACTGGCGCTTCGCGGAAGCAGGAATTATACAAATATGCGCGTGTGTGTTTCTTACAGGCGAAATAAAAATTACACCAGCCTCGACCCCAAACAGCAAAAAAGCATGACAGGTCTGTATAACCCAAACAAGAGGAGCCCGGGAACCCAAAAGCAAACCAGCCTCACTCCCCATGGCATGTGGATCCCTTTGTTTTCCGGCTCAAGGGTCCGAAGGCAAACCAAGATTTAAGTTGTTCACAGTTGGGAAATCAACCCCAAAACAGATGAAGAAGGGGAGCAGCCGCGACTCAAGCCGGATTGGCAGCCAGCAGCCTGTGCTCTGACCAAGCACAGAGAAAATGGCAAAGGCAGGCACGGGTGAAACATGACAGGCCCCGCACTACATGGAAGGCACGAAGTCATCCGATTCATCATGAAGAACCAATCGCAGAAATCCGAAAATGGATGGCATAAGCTCGCTCTACACCCATCTGAAACAAGTCTGAGACACAGTGTTACAACACGATCCGAGTAGACCGGGGTCAGCTGTTCGGATGTTCATGCGCCCTTTTGTTTGGGCCGAGTGTGCTCAGCATATTCATGTCAACGTGCTTCCAGGCTGCTTCCAAATAAGTAGGGCGAACCCCAAGAGGCCACAGACTCTGAAGAGAGGGTTCGTCCTAGAAACACACTGGCACCGTTGGTTCGGGTCAGGTGTGCGGCAAAAATGACATTTTTGGCGCACCTGGAACGCCGGGCTGTTCACATGGAGCCGTGCACGTGGCCTTCACAAACTTGCTTCGTAAGCTTGCTTGGATTCGTTAGTTTCTCCACCTATTTTCCCATTCGCAACCAATTGCAACTGGTGACTTTGTGGAAAGGGCCGCGCACGTTGTCAATTGGATGCGTGTGGATGGCAAGTTGGGTGGATTCGCCGCAGGTGTGTGGAGACGGGGCCGGCGCTGCGCTTTTGCGGGGGGCTCGGTGTGGACAAGCCTCGGTCACTTGGTGGGTCTGACGCCTGTCCGAAACAAGTCTGAGACACAGTGTTACCACGATCTGCGTAGACCGGGGTCAGCTGTTCGGATGTTCATGCGCCCTTTTGTTTGGGCCGAGTGTGCTCAGCATGTCAACGTGCTTCCAGGCTGCTTCCAAATAAGTAGGGCGAACCCCAAGAGGCTACAGCTTCTGAAGAGAGGGTTCGTCCTAGAAACACATTGGCACCGTTGGTTCGGGTCAGGTGTGCGGCAAAAATGACAATTTTGGCGCACCTGGAACGCCGGGCTGTTCACATGGAGCCGTGCACGTGGCCTTCACAAACTTGCTTCGTAAGCTTGCTTGGATTCGTTAGTTTCTCCACCTATTTTCCCATTCGCAACCAATTGCAACTGGTGACTTTGTGGAAAGGGCCGCGCACGTTGTCAATTGGATGCGTGTGGATGGCAAGTTGGGTGGATTCGCCGCAGGTGTGTGGAGACGGGGCCGGCGCTGCGCTTTTGCGGGGGGCTCGGTGTGGACAAGCCTCGGTCACTTGGTGGGTCTGACGCCTGTCTGAAACAAGTCTGAGACACAGTGTTACCACGATCTGCGTAGACCGGGGTCAGCTGTTCGGATGTTCATGCGCCCTTTTGTTTGGGCCGAGTGTGCTCAGCATGTCAACGTGCTTCCAGGCTGCTTCCAAATAAGTAGGGCGAACCCCAAGAGGCTACAGCTTCTGAAGAGAGGGTTCGTCCTAGAAACACATTGGCACCATTTGTTCGGGTCAGGTGTGCGGCAAAAAGGACAATTATGGCGTACCTGGAGCGCCGGGCTGTTCACATGGAGCCGCGCACGTGGCGGTTGCCGCACGTCATGAGCGTCCACCGCGCCAGTCTCGCTCGCCGGCATGTCACGAGCGTCCACCGCGCCAGTCTCGCTCGCCGGCATGTCACGAGTGTCCACCACGCCAGTCTCGCTCGCGGGCGGTTTCCGCATGTCACGAGCGTCCCCCGCGCCAGTCTCGCTCGCGGGCGCCACGCCTAGTCTGCGTCCCCCCAGCCAGCCAGTCTCGCTCACGGGCAGTTTCCAGCCAGCCTCGCGCACCCTTTCTAGCCAGCCCCACACCGCCGTCCGCCCAGCCAGCCTCGTACGCCCGGTCTGCACCCCCAGCCGGCATCGCACGCCCGGTCTGCAGCACAACGGAAATCGCTTCTTATCTCCGTCGTCACAGCTTGTATCGCTCCCAGGCCCCTTAAGAGAAAACCTAAAGCAGAACCCAAGCATCAGAGATCAGTTTCTTGAGCAAAGCAATCTGGCGGATGTCACGGTATTTGTTTATCGAGAGCAAAAGTACATAATTAAGGTTTCTGCTGATGCGCCAGAAGGATGCAAACCTGCACTTGACCAAGAAGTGCGGCACTGGCTTCCAAAAAGCCTGAGCAAAGCAAGCAGGCAGATGTCACGGTATTTGTTGATCGAGAACAACAGTACATATTTAAGGCTCGGCGGGGCTCTGCTGATGCGCCAGCTTCCAAAAAGCAGCTCAGTTTCCTGAGCAAAGCAATCAGGCGGATGTCACGGTATATTTGTGTATCGAGAACAGTACATATTTAAGGCCTCTGCTGATGCGCCAGAAGGACGCAAACCTGCACTTGACCAAGAAGTGCGGCACTGGCTTCCAAAAAGCTTGAGCAAAGCAATGAGGCAGATGTCACGGTATTTGTTTATCAAGAACAACAGTACTTATTTAAGGCTCGGCAGGGCTCTGCTGATGCGCCAGCTTCCAAAAAGCAGCTCAGTTTCCTGAGCAAAGCAATCAGGCGGATGTCACGGTACATTTGTGTATCGAGAGCAAAATGGACACATTCAAGACCACCTGACCAAGAAGTGCGGCACTGGCTTCCAAAAAGCAGCTCAGAATCCTGAGCAAAGCAATCAGGCAGATGTCACGGTATATTTGTTTATCGAGAACAATATGCAGATTAAAGGCTCGACAGGGCTCTGCTGATGCGAAACAGGGATGCGAACCTGCACTTGAGAAAGAAGTGATTCCAAAAAGCAGCTCAGAATCCTGAGCAAAGCAATCAGTGTCAGATATTTGTTTATCGAGAACAAAAGTACATGCTTAAGGCTCGACAGGGCTCTGCTGCCGGGCCACACAAGGGGGGAGACACAGGGAGACAAGCGGGAGACACGACCCCAGCCAGCGTCACAGCATCTGGGGCCGTGTCTCCCGGCACAGCCTCTGGCATTTGACCGAGGACCCCGGAGCGGAGACTGGGAGACACAGGGAGACAAGACACGACCCCGGAGCCAGCGTCACAGCATCTGGCATCTGACCGGAGAGACTGGGAGACAGGAAGACAAGCAGAAAACAGGACCCCGGAACCGGCGTCACACTTTCCCATTCTTTATACCTCAAGTTAGAACCCCAATGCTTCGCTGTTTGGGGAAAAACGTGCCTTTTCGCAACCCACTTGCCCACAGGATGCCGATCCGGGTCTTGCCTCGGGGATGGAAGCCCTGGCCTCCTGAACGCATCTCGCGGTCTGCTTCCGTTGCATTTCCCAAAGAGCAATGCAAGTAGATTTTGCTAGGACGCCAGCCTCTTTGACCTCAAGAGCAAGATTAGCGCGACTGGCCTAGCCAACGAGCTGTTGGCTATGGAGCCACCTGTCGCAATATCAGTCGTGTAGGTTTGAGCAAAGTGGAAAGGGTGCAGATTCCCAGTGATCCTGTTTGTGTTGAAATATGTAGCCCAATGCGCATGTTATCATATACAGTTGTACAGAGGCGACTGTTGATATATTTTGGCTCAAGAAAATAGGGCGCTCCGTAGCGGCCAATCAGATTTTCATGGAAGAGGTGCCTAAACGCACAGTTTGGTACTTTGGCAAAGGACAGTCAGTCCTTCCGCCTTGGAGGCGGGGAAAGGGCCGCGGAGGCGGCAAAGGCCAGAGGCGAAGAAGAAGGCGGCCCCGGCAGAGGAGGCCGGAGGATCCGTTGTGGCGGAATTGTCACACGAGGAGCCGCAGCTTGGCGGCGAAGCAGCACCAGCAGCAGAGGAGCTGGTGAGTGAGCCAGATTGGTCTGGCACAGGCCGCACAGGAGACAGAAAGGATCTTAAAGAAGCTGCTGAGCCAAGAGAAAAAGGAGCCAGAGAAGAAGAAGAGGAAGCTGTTGGATGAGAAGAAGCCACAGCAGCCACCAGAGCCTAAGAATCCGCGGCGCAAAGGTTGGATCTTAAACCGATCGACTGAAGCATCAGCGTCGGACTCAGAGGCCTGGGGCAACTGGCGAGCCGTCGCCATAGCAGCTTCGACTTCATCGCATCCGGAGGCTGCAAGCAGCAAAGCAGTATCAGCATTAGCAGCAGCAGCAGCTGAGGAGGAGGAGCCCCCTGCAGCATCTGAGGAGAAGAAGGCAAAGGAAAAGGCAAGGACAAGGCCAAGGGCAAGAAGCAGAAGAAGAAGCCCAACTGGCCCCGTGTCAGGAAAACATGGAAGGAAAGTGGAAGGACCTATACGTCGCTCTAGGGAGAAGAGGTCCTATAGGTTCTTGAGAGGACTGATCAAGTTCGCCCAGAAGTACAACAACCCGATCCCACCTAAGGTACGAGAAGCTTGCGAGAAGTTTGAAGCCGAGTACGGCTACGCTGTACCAGTACCGAAGAGCTTTCGCCACAACATTCAGCCCAGTAGGTCCAAGCCAAGGCCGAAGCGGGAATTAACCCGCCGCAAAAGGAAGCCAGAGGACAGGAGGAGCCCACTGCAGCAGCAGCAGCAGCAACAGCAGAAGCAAAAGCATCAGACTCCGGACCGCCCGAGGTGCTTCCTGAGGTTGCAGCAGCCGCCAAAGCAGCCGAACGCACGATCGCCGTAGCGTTAGCTACGCAAGCGTCGGCGCTTCACCGGGTAAAGGCCGGCCACATTTCGGCGGCCGCCGCACTAGGCAGCAACTATCGCCTGAGGTTGGCTGCAGTTAACCCCAAGAACTTGCTGAGAGCAAGGCGCAGGTGCAGGGCTCGACGGGCGCCGCAATATAGAGGCGGCAATTCGGGCGAGAGTGCTAGCGCAAGATTGCCTAGCCCGAGCGTGTAGCTCGTGCGACGAGAGACACCGCTCCCAGTACCCCTGGGTTTTGGAACGCGCGGCGCAAATCGCAACCCGAGGAAAGGGTGCGATTCCGATTGCCTCAGCCGCGAGCCGCACCATGCTGGCAGATCGTGGCAAAGAAGCCACGCTCTGTGCTGAAGCAGACATCAAGCAAGCAGGTAAAGGCCAAGAGTGGCACAGAGGAGCCCAAGGACAAGCCGGAAAAAAGGGCTGAGGAGAAGCCAGAGGAAAAGCCGGAAGGGGAGGCCAAAAGCAAAGGCCAGCCGGTTATCCTCAAGCCAAGGAGGAAACCGCCAGGGGTTGAGAGGGCCAAGTGGAGCGTCCGGTTCCCGACCGAACAGGAGTCTTCGGAGAAATGGCTGCCATCCAAGCACAACTGGCGCAGATCCTTGAGGAAAATAGAGCTCTGCGCGAACAGCAGCAAAGACAGCAGGATCAAACAGCCCTTTTGACCCGACTGGCTGAGAGTATGACAGAATTAGCCAGAAAAAGTAAAAGGGAGGAACCCAGGAGGCTGTTGGTCGACACTGAAGAACATTTGTTTTGGAAGTGGGTGCGTTCAGTCACAAACCTTGTTGTCAGTATCTTTGGGAAGGAATTTGAAAAAGTGTTGGATTGGTGCCTCGATCAGGATGGGCCCGACGATATCAGCGTGGACGAAGTCGAGGCCAAGCACGGGGAACCGGACAGCGTGTGGCCAGACAACTTTCTTCCTTGGCCCATGGTGAAACTGAGGACTTGGTAATAGGCTGTTCAAATGGGTTTGAAGCGTGGAGAAGAATCCACCCTCGGTGGGATCCCTTAACCGCCGGACGGAAGAGGGCGATTTTGAATCCAGAACGTGTGAAACGGTGGGAACATGTGAGGGCGGCGATAGAACAACTCGAAGACTTATTTAGGCGCTATGAAAATCGCAAGAACGAAGCTGGTGAGCGTGAACGCCTGTCAGAAGACATACAGGCGACCAGCCTGGAGTTGCTCGTACCCTCAGACATTGAACGCCACCTTTTGTTGAACAAAGGACGCCTCACAACCTACGCGTCAATGAAAGCAGAAATTGACTTCGAATCCTCTTTGGGAAGTAAGGCACCGATTTCACGCCCGGGAGCAGCAACCTCATCGGAGAATGGTCCGATGCCCATGGACGTGGACAGCCTCACGAAGCAACAGCTTGGTCAAAGGCAAGGGATCCGGTGGAAAGGGCAAGAGTAAGGGCAAGGGCAAAGATATATTAAGGGCAGTAGTAAACTTTCGGCTTCCAAGGACATAGTTTGTTTTAACTGTGGGAAAACCGGGCATAAAGCTGCGGAGTGCTGGAGTAAGAAGAGGGATGGCTCAAGCAAAGGCTCAAACAAAGGCTCAAACAAAGGTTGGAAAGGACCTGGCAAGAAAGGCACAGGCAAGGGCAAATACAAGGGAGCGAACTCACTAGAGGAAAGAACAGGTGAGGAAGCTTACGAAGAGGAACAGCCCGAAGGAGAACTTGATGTGGGAATGTTTGAGCTGGGCGCACTCTCAACTGGAGAGGACCTCCAGGCCATGGCATGGGTCCGCTTCAATTTGGACGCCGGTGCAGCCCAGACGGCAATCCCATCAGACTGGGCAGACAAAGTGCCGGTCAAGGAAGGAACCGAGGTCATGTTCAAGACTGCCTCAGGTGAGCTGGTCTGTGGGACCGGCACGGGTATGTTGCGGTGCTAGATGAGAATGGCGCGAATCTGATCCTGCAGGACTCTAAGGTTTCTGGCAAGATCTTGGAGCTCATAGAGAAGGAGAGGAACAAGCCCCATGCTAAGGCATGGATACCGGTGTACTAGGAGAAAGGTGTCTACAACTTCTACCTGAGGGTGAAGGCACCCGCTCCGGGTTTTGGGCGGCAGCCCGCAGTGGTGTAAGTCCGGCCCAAGCCATGGCAGCGGCAGATGATGCCGTGCCCGCCAGAGGAGATTGCACCGCCTGCGTTGGTGTGGTGTCGGCGTTGTGTTGCCGGAAAGGGCCTGGGTCAGCAACACATGTCTCGGGACGAGGAGAGTAAGAAGGATGATGGTTTACCCATGATCGCGAGCGACTACACCTTCATGACCACTGATAGCAAAGAAGATGGAAGAGCCAAGCCTATCTTGGTGATCAAAGACAGCCGGACGTTGTCCGTGGCAGCCACTTTTGTGGATGCGAAGGGTCCCACACCCTACGCAGTGAAGTTTTCTGCTAACTTTCTGAAGCACTTAGGCTATCGGAGAGCGGTTATGATGAGTGATGGTGAGCATTCGATCAGCCCGCGAGGCTGGAGTGGAAAATGTTCCACAGGAGTTTCCGGTGAGTGACCACCGGAGCAATGGACTTGCGGAAAATGCAGTCCGCGAGATCAAGAGACAGGTGAGAGTCCTGAGGTCTTCTTTAGAAGAGCTGATCGGCAAGGTTCTAGTTACGTAAGGACGACCCCGTCCTTGCATGGCTTCCGCGACATGCGGCAGACCTGATGCGCCGGTACCGTAGAGGACTGGACGGCCGCACGCCTGAACATAGGCGTTGCGGTAAGAACTGGCGAAAGCCAGCGATCGCTATGGGCGAGAAGTTATACTACCATGAGGTAGGAGAAGGAGTACGACAGCTCAAGGAAGGCCGGTACATCGGCCACCATGGTCGTACCGGATCACTTTTAGTGATCGCAGCAGATGGTGTCAAGAGAGGCACTGGAGTCCGCAGACTGGCGGGGTGGGCGACGGTTGGGCACGCCACGTGCCGGAGCGGCTGGAGAAGCCGTTGTCTTGGTTGGAGAGACAAGGATGGAAGTGCCACCGGCAGTCATGCGCCACCTATGCAGACGAGGATCTACATCCGGAAGGCTGACGTCGAGGAGCACACGCCTACAGATAGTTGCCCAGGATGCACACGCATTTTGCTGGGCCAATCTACCGTGTTGCCACACACGGAAGCATGCAGAGCTAGGATTGTGACTCTGATGCAACAGGCCGAGGAAGGTAAGAGTAGATTGGAAGAACTTGAGAGGAAGAGGAGACCAAAAGGCGAAGAGAGGAGCGATGCCCCTGAGAGAGATGTGCCAGCTGATGACGCAGCTGGAGCGCCGGCCGACAAGGCCGTGCAAGCTAGTGAGGAACGCAGGGATGAAGGCAACTCATACCTCATCAGGTTCTCTCTTCTCTCCTTGGGGTGGCTGGACCTTGAGCTTAGGTCCAGCAGCTATTCTGAGTTCTCCCGGTCTCTTCTGAGGCTTGACCGGTGAGGCTCTAGCCTTACTGGCGCACTGCTACTGTTAGACCCTGCAGGTGCACGTTTCAGGCTTGACCTCTCATCTAGATTGTCAGGGTACGGAAGAATGAGAGATTAGACTGGAGAGCCACCTGCTGGAGCAACTACTCCAGGGCAGCCCCCGGACGTGGGAGGACTGTCTTTGAGCAGGGCAAAGGAGGTGGTGAAGAGGAATCGAGGAAGATCAAGCAGGCCTATGAGCGGCAGGAGGTAGGGATCTCATCACTAGAGATTGAGACTCTAGGCTATGCCATAGATCTCGAGGAGATGTTAAATGGACTGGGACCTGAGCAGGTCAGAAGACCTGGAAGCAGTGGACCAGATGATTGATCTGGTGCTACTCACTGGTAGCCCACCACAGGGTCAGCCCGGATCAGCGTAAGATCCGTATGGAGAAGGCGTTAGAACATTTGCATAACTCAGGTCGCGTCTACAGGAAGCAACTGGATGCAGGACGCCTGTTCTTGCACGAGGCGCCCTGGAATGCAACTTCATGGAAGGATCCTGAAGTCAAGGAACTGACGGATCGGCCGGACACATACTTGGTCCGAGGGCCTATGTGCTGTTGGGAGATGATGGCGACAGATCGCCGTGGTCTTGAAGGCACAGGCTATGTGAGAAAGGGGGAGCTTGCTGAGCTCGTCTTGAAGGTGAGTGCAGCAGCAAGGCAGGGAAAGAACCCTGGCACAGGCATGTACACCTCATCGGTGGAATTGCCAAGCAGGCCGCCAGGTTCCAGCAGACTACATTGAAGAGTACTGGGATGATGTGCATGGAGGACTTCTACCAGCAGAAGAAGTTAAGAAGGCAAGAAATCTTGAAATGGACTACTTCAAGAAGCAAGGAGTATACCGGAAGGTGCCGGTATCACAATGCTACGCAGAGGGACTTCGACCAATCACGGTGAGATGGTTAAACACGAACAAAGGAGATCCGGAGAAGCCCAACTACCGGTCCAGGTTAGTTGCCCGTGAGATTAAGGGCAGCTAAGAAACCGGAGGAGCAGTTGCCGCAGAACTTTCTGTTCTCGTCAACGCCACCGTTAGAGGCGATGCGCTACCTGCTGAGCGCCTGGTCAACTGACCGGGTATCGGAAAAGGGCCGGAGACTGAAGCTCGGTCTCTGCAGAGCGCACTTTTACGGAGAACCGAAGCGACGCATATAAGTTGAACTTCCACCAGAAGACGCAGAAGAAGGCTTTTGTGGTTTGTTGGAGAAGAGCATGTACGGTTGCCAAGATGCGCCAGCGATATGGCAAGACCATTATACCCAACTCCTTTTAAGGAACGGGTATCAGCGTGGCCGCATGGTTCCTGCTTTTCTAAGCCGAGCACAGGGTGCAGGGTGTTAGTCTATGGAGATGACTTTCTCGCACTTGGTGATCAAGAGGCTTTGGATGAGCTGGATGCCATTCTAAGGAGTGCCTACGAGCTGAAACGGCTCGGAATGCTGGGATGATCGTTCCGCGCATTTCAACATTTAAAGGTAGAACATATACCAGGCAAGCGTAATAGGTCTGATGTGCTGACGAAGTCAGAACCCGGAGTCCAAATGAAGGACACAATGAGACGTTCTGGATTTGTGTTTCTTCAAACCAAAAGTAAAGGCCAGATGAGTCTTCTAGATTCACAAGGCCCTGGTCCAGGCTCCGACTACCGCACTGTATAGTTGCTGCGCGGGTGAACAAGCACCCTCCAGCAAGGAGGAGTGTTGAAATATGTAGCCCAATACGCATGTTGTCATATACAGTTGTACAGAGGCGACTGTTGATATATTTTGGCTCAAGAAAAAAGGGCGCTCCGTAGCGGCAATCAGATTTTCAGTTTTGGGAGATCGGATGCGAAAATGCACGCAGGGCTTGATTGCATGTAGGAAGCTACCCGTGACGGCACGGCCAAAGTTTGAAGGAGTGTGAGCTCTTCCAGGCTTGTGAGAGATCCTGTTTCGGAACCCGGGTCTTTGGTCGGCCTTGGGAGCCTTTCAGCAGCTGTTGCCATTGGCCCGAGGAGGCCGAGTTGCTTGGGGCTTTTTTGCTAACGGTTGCATCCGTTTGTTTGTCTTGAAACCTGCTTGGTTGGCAAGTCTCAGCCCCTTTAATTGAATTAATGACAAAAATGGTTTGTGTAGAGCTTGCGGGCTGTGTGTACGTACACAATATATATATATACACACATGTACACACTTATAACGCGCAACAGATCTTGACTGGTCAACCAACAACCAGGTTGTGTGAATTCTAAATATGATGATGGACAGATGAAGATATTTGTTCATATGGTGCACCTTGGCATTCTGGTATTAAGAGTTGCAGGCTGTAGGGACAGGGTTCACTCAATACTGGAAAGGGGGTTCTTGGGTCTTTGCAGTGTTGCCCTTTCCTGTTCACCCGTGTTTGCAAATTTCACGACACGCCTTTCAGAAGTGGCAAACAACAAGCGCAACCACAAAAGCAACAAACAAATACCTGGCAAGCATTCCCTGAGTGCAAGCTCCCCTCAGTGACATGTAAAACACACTCACACGCACAAGCGCGCCAGCGCAAAGCAGAGCAGGACCCAACAATGTTTCTCACAAGCGCACGGAAAAAATGAATCTCCCAAGGCTTCTGCTTGGGGGCTGCCCGCTGGACCAGCGCGATCCCCAGAAGAAGCTGGCAGATCTGGGCGTGGCCGACGGTGCCAACTTGACGGCGGCCTAGTTGCGAAAAGCGCAAGCAATTTGGTCACAGAATGGGCCACTGTCCAAAATTCTTTCGGGAAGGGGTCAAGCCCAACCCACTGTGAAGTTGCTGGCCCTTCCTACACATGGTTCTTAGCAAGGAAGGCCTGATTCCAGGTTGATCCTTTACGGAATGCTATCGTTTAAGCTTGAAGAACCCAGAACAACGCCAATGCGAGGCGAGTCTCTCCACGATGTTTGGGAGGAGACTAGCAGGTCATGCTGAGGCAGTCCTCCCCATCGCCGTTGGTCGCGACCAATGGATTTTAGCGGCGGGTGTGGAAGGGGTGTTCTGGTGTGCTGTTGCCTTACAGATATCGGTTCACAAGCAACTCGACTGGCATATGGCTCAGGCCTGGTTCAAGCACCGCAGTACGCTGTGCGCCAAAAACACAGCGTTTCGGAGAGCCTTGCTGCCCGCCGGCATACTCATTTCTCTCGACCCACTAGGCACATCCTTTATCCAGATTCGCTCGAGGAATCACGAGACCATATTCCGGGCTTGTTTGGAGGCGCCGATGTTGACCCTGAACGTGGTAGCGGAGCAGCTTTCTGGGAGGACTGTGACCTCAGATGAAGATTTCATGCGCCCACTGCTGTGGTTGGCATCGACCTTGGCTATTGCACCCGAATAGCTGGTAAAAAATGATGATCAGCGGAAGGTCACGTGCGATTGAACAAACGCAAGCGGGCCACAGCAGAGACACGCGCTGTGCGGCACGTGCGTCACGTGGCCCGCAGCAACCATGGCCAGAGACACTAGGGGCGGGAACATGCCTGTTCTCACGAACATGAGGACATCCTTCATCAAAGAACTCAGAGATTGGCTCGGAAGAAAAAGAGTACTCTGGCGAGATGGCTCAATCAATTTCAGGGGTGCGTTGCGCTTTCGCGGACGCGTGTCCAACCCTCTCACCGAGCACAAACGGGGTTGGCCGACTACGCGATAGCTGTGCAAGTCAAGCACGACACAAAGCGTCTCGGGCAGGCTGCGGCGGTCTTGGCAAAGAGGAAGATCGTAAAGAAGGCAGAAACCTACTGTATTTGCGGAAGGTTCAAGGATATAGGAACTATGGTTCCGAGCACGTCTGTACCCGTTTTCTCTTTCTCTTGCCCTTTTTCTGTGTGGCTCGTTCTCCCTTTTGTGTCTTTTTGTTTTCTCTCTTTACTTTGATTTGTACCCTTCTCTTTCTCTTCCATCTCTCTTTCGCTCTCGCTCTTCTTTTTTTTTTCTCTCTCTCTCTCTCTCTTTTCCCTCACACCGCGAGAGAGAACACACAAACCAACAAAGATGTCTAATCGACCCCCCGAATTCCGCAGATGGTGCCGCAAGCGAAGCGAAGTGACAACCCAACAAACGCTGAGAAGGTTCCGAACGCGCTCCGAGCAGCTCGGGACGCGCCTCCGTCAGGCGTCGCAACCGAGGTGTCGCGCACGCAGAAGAGCCGAATTCATGCGCACGGCCAATTTTTTCTGTCCGTTTCCAGTCCCCAGCCCTAGCGCACATATTCACACAGAAAGCAGTCTCAGCACCGCCGAAGTTCTTTTTAACCTATTTTGAGAACCGGCGTTGCCCTGTTTTTGTTTGTTTCCTTGCCTGCCTGCCTGCCTGCTTGCGTGCTTCTTGACGGAGACAGCGTGAATAAGTTTCTGCCATATACCAACGGTAGCTGTTTGCGAGTGCATTTAAATGGCTATGTAACAGGTGCGCACGTTTTATTATTTGTTGTGTTGTTTCCGTTTGCTGTTGTGTTGTTTCTTTGCTTGTTTGTTTGGTTGGTTGGTTGGTTGGTTGATTGCACGTTGGTTTGCTTGATTGCTTGCTTGCTTGCTTGCTTGCTTGCTTGCCTGCCTTCTTGCCTGCCTTCTTGCCTGCCTGCCTGCTTGCTTGCCTGTTTGTTGGTTCATTTGTTTGTTTGTGTGCCTTGTTTGTGTTGTTGCGTTCGTATGTGTGCTTGCTTGTGTTTGGCAAGGTGTTGTCCGCTCTGTTTTGTTGTGCGCATGTGTGTTGATTCATGTTTATTCCTGCATGTATCTTTCATCTATTTTTTCCAGCCTTTTGTGTTTGTTTGTTTGGTTGTTTGGCTGCCGTGGTTGCTTTGTTTGCTTATTTGGTTTGACTTGGTTTTATTTTGCGTGTGTTGTGTTGGCATCATTGTGTATTTTTATGTGTGCGTCTTTGTGTGTGTGAGATTGTGCTGGTGTTTACGTTTCTGCGTTTCATTGCAGAATGTGTTTCACTTATTGGTTTGATGTGACTGATTGAATGGCTGTGTGATTGTTTTATTTGTTTATGATTCGGCATTCTGCTTGGCTGGCTGGCTGGATGGCTAATTGATGGATTGATGGATTGATGGATGGATTGATTGATTTATTGATTTGATTTGATTTGATTGGATTGAATTGATGTGGATTGATTGATTGGTTGGTTGGTTGGTTGGTTGATTGGTTGATTGGTTAATTGATGAATTGATTTGAGTTGAGTTGACTTGAGTTGAGTTGAGCCGACCGCACCTTCAAAGCAAGACATTCACAGTACTGAGAACAAGGTCTTCCAATTCATGCAACATAGACTTGCGTATCCGATTGGCCAAGGTCACTTTCCGATTTGCCTCAACAATCAAATCAACCACTGGACCAGTCAGTCAGTCAGTCAGTCAGTCAGTCAGTCAGTCAGTCAGTCAGTCAGTCAGTCAGTCAGTCAGTCAATGAAACCAAGCAAGCAAACATTCAACCAATCACTTAAGGGTTTAAGTCATGGCGCTTTTTTGAGGATGCACCAGCCAATCACAAAGCACCTGGCAGAGCATTTGCACTGAGGTGGTCGCCAAGCGCTCTCATGACTATAGCGACTTGGCCAAAGGATGCGGCAGAAATTGTGCAGTGGGATCCATTTGGCAGTGGCTCAAAATTAAGGAGCTAGGGTTACGCAGGTTTTAGTCTTTGGTTCGATCTACGGCCATTTTGGTACATTATTTGAACCACTGCCAATTTTTGTCGATCAGAAAAAGTGCATCGGTGCCATGCAGGCCTTCCATGACTGTGTGTTGTGGTCCGATTGGTTTGGGCCTTGTGCAGCCAGATGGGTACGGGTCAAAATGAGACCACCAGGGGACCACAGGTTTAGTCCTTGGTTCCATTCACCAGGGCTCCATTTTGGGTACCTATTTCTGACCCAGTGGGTGCACCATGTTACACTTGATGTGTCGCAGTTCACAAGCGGCCCGCACCACAGCGTAATGCCATCCATCTCTCCAACTTGAACTTGCTCAACGGCGTCCATAAGTTCATCTCATCCAAAGTGTTGAGCTTTTCTTTTCTGTCCGAATTAGATACCCTCATTGAAGACTTGCTTGTAGATTGATATGTTGAAGAAACAAAGGAACAAAGCGAGAAAGAGAGACTCGCCCCCTGTCAAGAAGCTTATTATTTGGGGTCTACTGTTTACCGTGATCCTTATTTGGTGCCGGCCTTGCCCTTGCTTTTGTCCAAGCCGCATGTCCACTCATGCCATGGTTTGTGCAATAGACATCAAAGGATCATCAAGCGTGCATCGCATGATGCGTGGGAGCCACTTGCATGCTGTGAGACCGATGGCTGATCCGAGCTTGCCATCAGCAAGAGCCATTCCAAAAGACAGTGTCGCTTGCGGGGCCTGAGCTACTAATGTTGGCACTTGATTAATAAAGGCCCCCCCCTTGAACAATGGAGGAGCCAAAATCATGGGGGTGCACTTTTGGGACGTCCAAACAATGGAGGATTTTGGGGCCCTATTCTACTTTAGTATTGCAGCCACTTCCTTTTTGCAATTCTACTTTAGTATTGCAGCCACTTCCTTTTTGCAATTCTACTTTAGTATTGCAGCCACTTCCTTTTTGCAATTCTACTTTAGTATTGCAACCAATTGAAAGGGGAATGCTTTTAAGCAAGTGGGCCACCAATTGAACGGGGATGCTTTTAAGCAAGTGGGCCACCAATTGAAAGGGGATGCTTTTAAGCAAGTGGGCCACCAATTGAAAGGGGAATGCTTTTGAGTAAAGCAACTGATAGTTTATTTTCTGGGAGGGGGGGCTGGGGGCTTGCAACTAATGTGGTCCCCTAAAAGAATGACTTTATTGTGGTTCAGTGGGGTCTGTGAGGGGTACCCTTGTCCTGATTGGTGTTTTTTCAAACACGGTTTAGTAAAGAGTTTGCAGTTTCAGGGCTAGGGATGGTTTTCAAATTTGCTTTGGGTTCTGTGGTTGGGCAACCAATTGAAAGGGGAATGCTTTTAAACAAGTGGGCCAAAAATTGAAAGGGGATGCTTTTAAGCAAGTGGGCCAACAACTGAAAGGGTAATGCTTTTGAGTAAAGCAACTGATAGTTTGTTTGTTTTTTCTGGGAGGGGGGATGGTGTTTAAAAAAAAAAAAACATGATTTGTGGAGTTGTTTTTGAATTTTCCCCCCGGCCAAAAACACTTTCAAGTATTATGGTTCCCCTAAACAATGGGTGCGAACCAGAATAAGGAAAACCACTTTCTATTATTGACGCCCACTTGATTAATCAAGTGCCAACATTAGTGTTACTAGTGATGAGGATTAGGATGAGGATGATGACGATGGGGATAAAGCAGCAGGAGAACGAGCAGGAGGCGCAGGAAGGAGGAGGAGGAGGAGGAGAAGCAGGGAGGAGAAGCCATTGTCACTGCTCCCAAACCACTGCCCTCGAGAGAAACGCTGTATATACCCTTGTAGTGGCTATAAAAAGCTTGTCTACGCTAGTGCCGGCATACCCCAAATTCCCCTTGGGATCTTTAACCGCTCTTAGGTCTAACTCCTTTGGTTTGTATGGAAGACGGCAGGCTTGGCACCAAGCCACGTTGCAAGGCGCGTTTGGTCAAGGGTCCGACGTTGAGCTTGGGAGCAATTCGTTTTCAGTTTTGTCAGCCCGGAGAGCTGTTTTGTTTACCTTCCGCAATCACTATGTGACCTCAGCAACATGGATGGATGAATCGGATCCAAAGTTGCCACATCATATCACCTGTACCATTACCGGGTCAGTGCTATTCTACATCGAGTACACATATCATGTAGCGGCTGTTTAGATTCAGAGTTCCGCTAGGCAAGCTCGTTGGATTCCGAAGGCCTGTCAGCTTCAGGCCAGATCACCAAAGTGGACAAGCTGGTGAAGTCTGAGAAGTGGCCGCAGGGAGTTTTCACTACAGCAGAAGGACGCCAACGGATACTAGGTCCCCCAGCTAGGTGCCCTTTTACCCTTTTTTGGGGGAGGGTTCTCATACTAAAATAAACCACAGGAAAGGGTACCCTCATTCTAACCGACCTAGGATACTCGTCCTCTTTATCATAGGCCGAGGAAACAACTTGTTTTAGTGCCATTAAAAGAGAGCAGAGCCTCACGCGAATAGTTTGGCAGCATACATATTCACCAAACCAGATTGCTGCTAGGCGAGTAGAGGGCACCGGCATGAGCACCAAGGAACCGGACAGAGGGAGAGGTAGTGGTGATAGCCCTGCGTGTTCAATTTAGTCTTCTCGAGCGCAGCTTACCACGTGTAGAATGTCAAGCAGTTGTATGTTTTTTGATAGGGGCATAAGATCAGTGTGTCGGCCATGAGGTATCCACATCCAACGCGTATCGCTGAGAGCTCGGCATTTTGTTGTGTGGCAGGACTCTTCTACGTGTGCCACTTCCAGGGTGAGCTATTGGTGCACCCTGGTCAAAAACTATCCAGAGACAAGGCCCGATGTGGCTGACTAGGCCTTACCATCAATATGCAGTTGCAATTTCGCCGGTAAGTTGGCAACCGGCAACTGCAGAGGGACACGCGCCACATACGCGAACCCTATCAGCACGGCGCATATGTGTGCATGAGCTGTATTTACCCAGATTCAGACTGAGATGAAAACTCCAATACTGGACGTCCTAACACCGAATGAATGCACCCCAGACAAGTAATTTTGACGCTGTCTCATATATAACTGGGGAGAAGGAGAAGGGAGTCCATTCCTACATAGGTATACCACTCCCTCCCAATGTCTATCCTTTTGGTCATATAATGAGCCTCAAATTGTCTTGAGCATCTTGGGTGTGCTATCTTTTTCTTACTGTTGCAGCTTGTCGTTGTACAGTGCAAACCCGGCTGATGTGTATGCAAAGCACACTTCGGCCGCTCGAAAATTGCAACACTCCGTCGTTAAAAGGGCAGTCCACTGGCAGCTCTAGCTCGAAGACGCCAACTTTTCAGAAAGAGTTTTGCACAGTAACTCGGTGGCTCCCACCAGCCATCCGGCTCCTTAGCTTTTTAGCTTCTTAGGGTTAGGTAATAGTGCCAATTTAGCCCGCTGAAAGTTCGCACATTGGCAGCACAAGCTCAAAAAATCAAAGCGTTCAGCACAGGTTCAGTACTCGAAGTATACTGTGGCAAGCTTGAACATCGGCATTGCTGAATCAGTTGACTTTGAAAGTTGCTGCCTGGCTGAGTTAGGTTTCGCTTTGCTGACTGAACCAGAACTGGCCAATTGGTTTCTCGTACAACATATTGCTGCATGAGCGTGTTGCACCTGCAGACAAGTAATGACTGATCCAAGTGGCTTCAGTAATGACATCCTTGGATTGCAGATTGAATATTGTCCAGAAGATCCCCCAGCATCAATCTTCAATCCAAGGATGCAGTAAGATGTTCAGTGCATTTCCAGGTTCAGGACTGCTGGACTAGAGCCTCTCGCAAGTGCTCCAGTCTCGTTTTGTGGGTAGATGACGAATAGGTGAATTTTCGGGAGGCGGATGAGTATACATGTACATGTAAGAAAGGCTTTCCTGCATAGCTTCGGGCAGAGCATTTGGAGCTTGTTTGGACCAATGCCTCAATAAATCGACAAATTGCTCAGTTTAGGCCCAAACCCCGGGGTTCTCCGAAGAATCAACATCAAGAAACAAGCAAACAAGTCCCCGCATGTGTTTTGACCCATTATTTACAGTGTTTTAAGCTCATGACATACCAACAGACCTCATGCCACTACATGGAACGCGCGCGGACTAACACCACGGAAGTCCGTGTGAATCAACATGAATTCAAGTGACCGAAATCTTCTCCAATGTTCAACACTCATTCAAATCCCACTATAACTGCAAGATTGAAGAAATGTCTGACCAGATCATGAGCAGCAAAAAAGTGCAGATTTGCCCTGTTTCCGCGTCAAAATCACACATCAACAGTTTCTACACTTTCCACAGCGGCTGATTGAAAGCCTTCGTGGGGCAAACCAGTCCCATGCATTTCTGGCGGTGCATTTTCAATGCAGCCAGCACACTTTGAATGAGTGTTGAACATTGCAGCAGATCCCGGTCACTTGTGCTCATGCTGATTCACACGGACTTCCGCGGTGTAAGTCCGCACGCGTTCCATGAAGTGGCATGAGGTCTGTTGGTATGTCATGCGCTCAAAACACTGTAGATAGCGGGGCGAAACGCATACGGGGACTTGGCTAGTCGTTTGTTGACATTCAGGGATTCCGGGGCAGGAAGTACCTGTCAATGAACGTTATCATATTGCCCCACCCCACCCCCCCCCCAGACAAAGGGATTACGGGCCAGGAAGTTCCTGTCAATGAATGTTGTCATATTGCCCCACCCCACCCCACCCCCCAGCACAGCTCAAGCTGTTGTGATTGCTGGAGCCGAGAGCACCTGGGCGTGATGCGGTCTCTCGGAGAAATCTGAAGTTTGCCCCTCAGTTTACAATACACGCCCAGCTGCTGAGTGTGAAAAGGCTACCAATATTGGAAGGGCCTAGCTATGGCTGGCTTTCTGGCCGGAAAAAGGCCGGAGGTTCACACTGAGAGTCGGACCTAAGCCTGGGGAGCAAGAATTACATTCTGCCTTTGGGCCAAAAACATTTATTGCCACATGTTCTTGGCCCAAGGCCATTTTTTGGCGGCAAAGCGTTTGGCCTTTGGCTCACTTCCTGAGTTCCTGGGCGAAATATGTTTTTTTGGGGGGTGGACCAAGTGAAGGGGTGGCATTTACCCTTCCAGGACTTTGTTTTGCATCCACTCACTCGGTGAAGCCATTGGTATTGACTAGATCCCCCAGCTAGGTGCCCTTTTACCAACTTTGTTGGGGGAGGGTTCCCCTACCAAAATCGACCACAGAAACAAGGTACCCTTATTCTAACCTCTCTACTGGAGGACCTAGGATATTCGTTCTTGTATCATAGGCCGAGGAAACAATTTGTTTTGGTGCCATTGAAAGAGAGCAGAGCCTCACGCGAATGCATACATATTCACCAAACCAGATTGCTGCTAGGCGATTAGAGGACACCGGGTTGCGCAGGTGTACGCAGGTTTTAGTCTTTGGTTCCATTTACCAAGGTGTGATATTGGTGCGTTTCTTCGAGCCACGCCGCAAGGTACGATCAGCAGCTGCAGAACATCCGGCGGGCGCTGCTGCCGCGAGAGATGCGGACCCCCAGCCAAATGACCATGGCACCCAACGGCCACCTCGTCATCGCCTGCCACAGGCGGAACCGGGCGGAACGCGGGGCCGGGGGAATGGAACATGGCCTTGTGGCAAGTGCTTTTGTGCAAGCAGGCGGTATTTTTTTGACGTTGTTTGTTCTATGGCTTGCAAAAGTGTATGTTTCTATGGCTTGCAACAGGTGTTTTTGTTGTTCTATTGTTCTATGGCTTGCAAAAGGGTCTGGTTGTTCTTTGTTTGGTTTTTATCGTGTGCGAAACTGCGCCACATTGAGGATCGGGCTTGGGGAAATGCCAATCGGATGGTCAGGCAACAATGGTCAGGCAACCCTAATAGCTTCAGTTGGTAAATGGGAAACCAGCCCTAACCACTAAACCACCAATCCAAACCACCAATTAATGGGAAGCTGCAATGGTGTAGTTGCAATGATGCAGTTCCAGCTTTGAAGAGGTGCTTGACCCCGTTCAGCTGCGGGTCGGAAAGTGGGTCAGACAGTGCGCAAATTGTTTTGTTCAACTTACTTGGCACATGCTGCCATGGAATGGCAGGCTTGGTTGGACTAGCACGAAGTGGTCAACACGATGTTTCTATCACATCATCATAGACTCCGACAGCATGAAACAGCAGGTTGAAATCATGCAGTATTGTCCGCCTTGGAAGTTGTTTGGAACCGGTTGGAGCCAATTCTTGCATTACAGACCCTTGGAGAACACGCGCATCGCTCAGGCTTTCCACCAATTGACACCATGCTTTTTACGGCGTGGTACGCACAGGAAGGTGTGATTGGTCAATTCGGCTCGTTACGATTCGGCTCATTTTCCTCTCATTGTGACAGGCAAACAAACGCATCTATATGGACAAGCTTCACACAGCTTGCAAGGACAATCACAATCTAAGACTTGGCCCCAGCAGAAAACCGTGCGCTACACTTTGCTTTCTCCACCATTTGCGGCCTCGTTTGTCTTCGTTGGTGAGTTAGCCTCCTCTTTGCTCATGTCATCACGAAGCACGCATAGGTGGTCTCAAGGAGAAGCTGAGATATTGCCGGGGAGTGATTAATGTTGGACCCTCTTTACCCCACCACCCCCGCCCCCCTCGCTAGGAGTGGAACCAGTCAGCTGGACCCTCTTTAAGCAAAATCCTGGGGGTTTGCAAGGGACAGTACTTACTTTAGTATTGCCAATTCTACTTTAGTATTGCCAAGGACCGTTTTTTTCAGCAACCCCCAAACAGGTTAGACACTAAAGAGGACCCCAAAACAGTCGCATTAAAGAGGATCAGGGCCCCTGGTGGGCACCCCCCTTTGTGTGACTGTTTGCCCGTCCTTCTTGTAAAGAAGTTTGGGGGCCACTGGCAAAAGGAACTTCCTAGATCCAAGGCCTTTACCCTTTGAGCTGGGAAGAGCTTGGTTAGGTGAACCACCCTAAAAGTAAAAGGCTAAGGCTTGAGTCTAATAATTTCAGCAACCCACTAAAGGTCACATTAAAGAGGCTAAGGGCCCCTTCTGGGCAACCCCCTTTGTGTGACTGTGTGCCCGCACTTTTTTGTAAGGAAGTGATCTTAAATTTGATGGTTTGGGGACCACTTCAAAAATCCTGTTTGCCCGGATTTGTTTGCTCTTTTTTTTGCTCGACTTCTTTGCCAAGTTTGTTTGGCCCATATTTTATCGGAGGCTTAGTCCCAGACAAGATCAGGAGAGTAAACACACAAAAAATGTCGTTTTTTTTTTGATTTTTCGGGGGAAACAATTAGCTGCAATTGAGGACCCCACAACAGTCACAAGATCCTGAATTGTGAAAATGTTTTGCTATAGTAGAGGGTGCTATTAATAAAACATTAGCAAACGCTCCCCAAACAAATTGAGGGTCAGAGTTGGGCCTACCCACAAAGTCTCTCAGTAAGTACCGCATAGTGATGGTCTAGATTGCTTTAGTAGTCTGTTGCTGGCCCAGTACTATTTAAATTTGGTTTGGTACTTGTTTAGTACTCCTTTGTGCTGGATGAGTAGTTTTGGAATTGGTTTAGTATTTGTTTAGTATTCCTCGGTACTGGCCCAGTGTTGTTTTGTCTCTATAATTCCCTTGAAGATTCATGATGATTAACCTTCCGGAGAAGCTATTTGTAGCAACGGGTGTCATAAAGAATTTGGCTGTTTGGGGCCTCAGTTGGTTTTGGCGGCTCCGGATTGGCTTAGTGTCCAGTATTAGCTAGTGTTGGTTTAGTCATGGTCAGTATGAGTTAGTAGAAGCTTAGTATTTGACTAGGATTAGGTCAGTATCGGTTTAGTTTTGGTTAGTATTCGTTTGCAATGGCCCGGAGATCTGTATTTTCTCTATGTCATTTCATTCATCCCCCCATCCTCATCGGGACGCCCGAACTGCCAAGGGTGTGCACTGAAAACAGTTGTCTTCCAAGACGGCCCGCACACATGCACGCGCACAGGTACGCACGCAAGCAGGCACACACACACACACACACACACGCACGCACGCACGCACACACACACACACACAGACACACACACACACACACACGCAAAAACAAAAAAATAACACAAAAAGACACACACACACACACACACACACACACCCAAAGAGCACGCACTCACGAACGCTCGCACTACGCATACACACACATGAGAAGCATAGAGGACATTCCTGTGGTCCCTCGTCAGTGTTCAGGTATGGTTTCCCAGCCATGCTTCTAAATCGGAGGTCTTATTCCGCGGCCGCTGCTGTGGTGGACCCGCAAACCATGGAGGTGATCAAATGGTTTGGTGACACCGCCGCTCTGCTCGAAGTGATGAAATGGAAGAAGTGGGAAAAACATCCGAGGAGCTCTGGCCAATCACGGATTTTAGTTTGAGGCTTCTTGGGCCCATGCTAGGTAATCAAACGAAGCTTCACAAGAACTTCCGTAGTACCACAACTAATTGAGCGCGCTTTCTTCGAGAATTCACACGACGCTTGAAAAGACAGGTCTCAGGTGTATACCCTCCTGTACTTACCGATACCTATACCAGTATAGGTATAGGTACAGGTACGGATATCTGCCTGGTTGTATACCTAGCCCCCAGGTACCACCCCACCCCCCGCCGCCTGGGGTATTGTTTGATTAGTTCTGTAATGTCGGATGGCGTTTTTGCAAGGTACCAGGACGACCTTGGAACGTGTTAAGCAACAAAGAGCTCAATGGCTTACTCATTCATTGCGCCGCAAGAACGCCCTTCGCACATCTTTACTCATCTTAGACATTCTATCAAACAGCATCAGGGTGATTGAATGTGGTTGAGAAGTCCTCGTTCGGCCAGCTGACAGATGCCCATGCCTCTATCTTGCGCGGAAGGGGGTTGGAAAGCGTTTGCTTTACTTGATCAGGCATTCCGAAAGCGGAGAATTGTGTCTCAGAGTTTTCCATTCTGGTGTTCCATGGTCTTGCTGTCTTGCAGGTGGTTGCTATGATTGAAACTGATTGGCTGAAGTAGGCAAGCCCCTGCATGAAGTTAGAACAACATGCAAATGAGCCCAGATGCTATGCCTTGCCAGCGGCATTCAAAGTCAGTACTTGTGGTCTCAATTAGAAGCACCTACGGCTTTGAGTTGGCAGGGTTGCAGCGAGCGGGCGCTTGCCTTCAAAGTGAACGGTACCCCCCTTGAATTGCGAGCAGTCCGCGCTGTTGACCTTCAAAGTTAGCAGTTCTGACCCCTCGAATTCACTGAGGGGGATGCTGCTGCTGCTACTACCAATGCTGCTACTACTACTACTACTACTACTACTAGTACTACTACTACTACTACTACTACTACTACTACTACTACTACTACTACTACTACTACTACTAACACCCATATTAGTTCGGGAAATTTTCTTCTCGCGTCCCCGCTTGCCAAACATGGGAGGAACTCTGTCTCGCTCCAATAGCTCCAAGGACGAGCGAAGTCGTACCTGTGGTGTGGCAGTGGCGGAAGGCTGGAGCTGAGTTCGGATTGAAGTTTGATACTGACCGTTTGTGACTATTCATAGGACTCCATCCGGAACATATATCTGATTCGAGTGGAGAGAGCCATGCCAATGAACCGGGATACCCTTTATCATTTTTAAGTGCTCTGTTTTGGAATGCAAGCGCGGACCATGAACAACTTGCATTGGCAACAGCTGTGGGAAGCCTTGGCGGAACTACTGCAAGGGCCTATCGCACGGTGTCAGTACTACTACAATGGCCTATTCGCATGCGGCCATTCAAGAAATGAAACACTAGTCTTGCTGAGAATCCAAAATCGGCTGAAGGGCTGGCACTTGTCAGGCGTTTATATCACAGAAGGTCAGACTTGTGCAACGTGAAACACTACCTTTTAGCATGTCTGCCAGGCCGCGTGTTTCTGTCCACCATCCCCTACGGTGGATCAGCCAAAGTAGGCGCGGACATCGTGTTGCTTCCAGCAGGCAGCTTTGCATCACATGTATGCTGATCAAAGGTGGGAGGCCCTTCTTTTGATGCGGGCGCTGGGGGGGGGGGCATGCATTACTGCTCCGCGCGTACAACGTTGCCATACAAACCTTGATGCCTGTTATGTTTGTTTTACTTAGTTGAGTTCGCGACTGCTACTTCCGCGGGCATATCAGCAACGGGCTATATTGGCAACTGAATTTAGTAAGTTGGGTCGAACGGTGGCCCTTTGGCCCTTTGGCTACAAGGCTAACAGTGGCCTGTGCGTGCCAATTTATAACCAGCGCTTTTGTGAGGCTTTCTGTGTGGCCAGTGGTGGGGTTGTGGACAAAAAATTGGACCAAAAATCGGCGAGGTGCAGCTCCCACCCAACTCCTCGCCCGGACTCGGCCAGTTGTCTACGACTTTGAGACCACGAAGCTGCTGGCAGTCTTTGGGGGCTTTGAAAATCCCTGCGGCCTTTGCGTGGCAGATGAGAAGTTGCTGGTGGCGGATCGGAGCAGCAACAAGGCGTGGAAGGTGGCCGATCGGAGCAGGAAAAGTGTCGCTTTGGCTGAAGGAAGCTGAGGCCCAAGTGTTTCCAGGAAACAGAACATGTGAAGACTCCTGTTTCTCACAAACACCGCGTGTTTGTGCTGGTTTGCGATACAAGCTGTGTTGTTGATTCTGTTTCTGCCACTTATGATCGCCGCTTGTAGACATGTCAGTGAAGTGTTCCAATTGTTGAAGATGTTGAAACGCTGGACCACGCATCCCCATACCCATGGATTGCATTGAAAGCAGCAAATATCACGATAATTTCCGCAGAGCGACTTCCATACATGTATGCACGGATAGGCAAGCTTTCGATGGATCATACTTGGCAAGGCACATGCGATCATCCAATGCAAATGTCTGAAACCCGTTGGATTGTTTCATGAAGAAGCTCAGAACAAGTCAACCACTGGACAGCATGCAACATGTCATGTGATATTTGTTGCGCCTGTGTTTACTTGTAGCAAGCAGGTTTTGTCATTGTGGCTCCGAAAAAGAAACAAACAAACATCCACAAAGCAAGTCAGTGATGCCAAACGCAGACACACACACACACATACACACACACACACATATATCTTCAGAGGCATGATGAGCATGCACAAGGTTTGTGTGTAACCTTGTTACTAGTGGAGACGATGCAGTGAAAGTGGTATTTATACAAGCAAGATTGCAGAGAAGACCAGTGGATCAGTGAACCGATAGCTAGAGTTGGACGGCAAGCTTCCGCCAAAATGAGCTGCCTGCGAAGGTGCTGATCCTGGACATGATGGGCAGGCTGGTGAAAGAGATTGGAGGAGCTTGGCGATGGCCAGAAGAATCTTAGTGATGTAATCTTGGACTCTGATGATTGAATTTCGACTATACTCTAAGAACATGGTTGAGTTGGGTGATTGCAGCCGACAGCCAAGTTGATGGTTAGTTTTCGCGCTGACCGAACTTGCAACCGGCAGTCATTAAGTCGGCAAGTGAATATTTGCGCGCAGTCCCCGGGCTTTGCGGGTGTGGCTTGAAAGAACCAGTTGAAGGAAACTGTGTTTTGCCTAGTTTGTGGCTGTGTGGCCTAGTTTGTGGCTGTGTGGCCTAGTTTATGGCTGTGTGGCCTAGTCTGTGGCAGCGTGGTTGGCTTTGCTGCGAAATCGCTGCGTTTTGAGCTTCCTATATGGACACATTGCCATGCCACCATGTTTTTTTCTTGTGAAGCTATCAGCATTTATCAGCACAACATGAAACAGGAAAGTGTTCACTCACCCATGGCCATGTTTGTTGATTTAATGCTTCACAGTCGTGGGCCAGATCTCACAACACACTTACTTGTGCGGAGATCTTTATATATTCTGAACCGTAGCGTCCAAAAGGGTCCAACCCTAAGCCTCTACCTCGAGTTCTTTCTTGGGTCGGCCTGATTCCTCATCTGGATCTGAGGGGTGCCCTTGCTGCGCCAGAGAGTGTATTGCACCAGTCTCGTCAATTTGTTCGGAATCCCTGGTCAATGCTTTGGTCCGCCTCGCATTTTGGGCACTTTGGCACTTGGGCACTTGGGAACTTGGACCGCGCACGGAAGCTTCAACACTTGAAGCCATGTGGTTCTTGGAAGTGTTGCGGGGCCAGCTCGCTCATCTGGCAGCGATCTTTGCCGGCTCCGTACCCTTCGAGCCCATCCAGCATAAACAACAGCGCAGGCATCGTTCCCACAAACAAAAAGAGAGCGCGGTGTTTTGCGGAAGGCCTGTGATGCTTGTGCGCTGGTTTCAGGGCTTAACGGCCCGCCAAGAGTCATACTTGGACTTGGATATTGGGGCAGGGGCGTGCACTGCTTCAGATCTCTGTTTTCACAAGCAAAGTGGGGAGCAGAACCAACAGTTTTCCCAAGGCTTTGCGCGGCTTGCCCCGCTGCCTCTTGCAAATAAACAAAACACCATCGAAGCAGTTTCCAAATGAATTCACTGAATGCCTTCAGGAGGTGAGTTGCTGAAGCCCAACGATGTTGCCCTGGACAGCTCCGGGAACATCTTGGTCATGGACGGGATACGGATCGTTTCGCTGGCTGTGTAACTTTGGCTAGCCGCTGTGTTGCACCTTGTTCTCATATGTGTTTCTTGTTTTGTGTGCTGTTTGCATTTATCTTTGTGTTAGATTTGGCAAGTTCGTGGGTCCATTCTGTCCGCTCCTACGCGCGCTCGCAGCCCGTTAGTCCAAAGAAGAACAGCTCCAAGCTTGAAGTCGGACATCGCGCGTTTTGTTTGGTACAATGACCCTTGGTACGACAAGAACCAATGAAGCACATGAGCTTGATAATTGCTGGCTAGGAATCTTTCAGATTGCAAAGCTGGGTGTGCTGTGTGTGTGAGAGAAGAGAAAGAGAAGTGGAGGTGTTGTGTCCTGGGCACCTGCGACTAAGCGGATGGCAGGGCAACAGCGCTCAAGCATCAACATGAATCTGCGTCAATCACACGATGTCTATGCACTACTACGGTGAAAGTGATGACACGCATCAATTTTGGATCTTGCCTTCACTTCATTGAAGGGAAAGACGATGTTGCCATTTGCAGTACTTGTCGTCCTGCCGGACCCCGTTGTGGTGAGGCTGGGCAGTGTCACTTCGCTCGCATCCCCTCATGAAAAGTCACCTGTGCAGGGAAGCGGCGGCGAGCTGGCAGAGTAGGCATCATGCAATGCAAATGTTTGACTGTTTGAGCATACTAGCAAATCGATGTTATTGGCGTTGACACAAAAGCTTGGCGTGTTTGTTGTGCAAAGGAACAACTTCACTCAAAGTGAGGCGATCCAGAAGTGCCCTCTCTCGAGCCGCTCGAAGCAACGAACAAAGCACGACCAATGACTCCTTGTGTTTTGGCAAGCAGACTGCAGTGCTGGGAGAAGGACGAACAGCGGATCAGAGGTGTTTCCCCGAATCGATGCAGAGGACACAGAGCACGAGCGCATAGCCGTGTTCGCGCCGGATGGCTATTTGCTGGCGAGCGTGCTGCCGCGCCTGGAAATAAGGGGGAAGCAAGCAGCACCTGTCAGTTTGGAATTTTGCAGAGCAGGTTTCATTTATGACCTTGGGCTCCTGATCAAAGAACTACTCATTACACAAGCTGCTGCATTCCAAATCATTAGACACACAGGACCCTGCCACGCACACACATCATGTATCATTCCAAATCCTGATGTTTCTTTCCAAAGTCATAATATGTTCATTCCAAAGCAAAATAATAAGCGATGGCTTTTGCTGAACTATGGCTGCCAACTCCTGTGCTACATCATTTGTTTTGGTTCCAAGTGTTCCTGTTTTCTCCTTTGCCCACAACCCTAGCTAGCTGGTTCAAACCCCACATGACCTGGCTAACTAGAAGTACCCCCAATACATGCGTTCCGCCCCACAGGACCTTGACCAGGACCTTGGCTCGGCTCAGGTTGGGAGCCGCCCATTAGATAGGCATGCAATGGGCGCAGTTGTCCCTTGAGTTTCGCAGCACCGTGGCTGGCTGGCTGTACTTGGGTTGAGGTTTAGGGTTTTAGGGTTTAGGTTTAGGATTTAAGGGTTTAGGTTTAGGGTTTTAGGATTTTAGGGTTTAGGTTTTAGGGTTTAGTTTTAGGGTTTCGGGTTATTGGATTTTAGGGTTTAGGTTTAGGTTTCTTGGATTTTAGGGTTTAGGGTTTAGGTTTAGGGTTTTAGGTTTTTCGGGTTTAGGTTTAGGATTTTAGGGTTTAAGTTTAGGGTTTAAGTTTAGGGTTTAGGTTTAGGGTTTTAGGATTTTAGGGTTTAGTGTTTAGGGTTTAGGGTTTTAGGACTTTAGGGTTTTAGGATTTTAGGGTTTAGGGTTTAGGGTTTAGGTTTAAGGTTTTGGGTTTAGGTTTTAGGTTTAGGGTTTAGGTTTTAGGTTTAGGGTTTAGGGTTTAGGTTTATTGGATTTTTGGGTTTAGGTTTAGGTTTTAGGTTTAGGGTTTAGGGTTTAGGTTTATTGGATTTTAGGGCTTAGGTTTAGGGTTTTAGGATTTTAGGGTTCCATGTTTTTCCAGCCAGAAAAGTGTACATGGCTGGCTGCAAACAAAGACTAGCTGGCGTGTACGAGGGGAAAAAAGGAAATCCCGCACACACGATTCCCGCAGAGGGTGCGCATTTCGGGGCCCAACCCCAGACTTCGGCCCCACACACTTGGTCCGGACCTGTGAGCTTCAACCTCTCAAAACACTGGCCCTGCGCATGTTGTCTGACACATTCAGGCGGGCCGTCGGGGGACGTTGGGGCAATACACATGTATTGGACGTAGAAGTAGATACTGCGAGAATTGTCAGGCATCAAACACAGTCTTGTATCTCACTTTCAGGTTGCTTTGGTCAGTCTAGGCGCTTAAACCCCCATTCCAAATAAGATCACACATATTTCTGCACCGTTCAAAAGTATTCAATCAAGTTCAACAACATACACATATAAATAAATACAGAACACACACGCAACAATCTGATTCAGACTACTCAACAATATACAAGACTGTTGAAAGGTCTTCAAAGCGACTCAAAGCCATTCTAAAACAACAGGGCAAAGCCTAGTTCTACTACGCCTATTAGGACAAAGACCTTGCTCTCACCTAGTGTACGCGGTGTTTGGATGCTAGGAAGTCTTTCAAGAATTTCGGCAACACGCACAGCTACATCTCTGTGAACCCGCTTACGGGCACCATAAGCGTCTCCATGGACGATGCGCACCAGGCAGGGTTGAGAGTTCAAGCGTTGGATCTGTGACGCTTGGAGGCGGGTTGCAAGATGCATTATGTTCCCAGCAGCGCACTGACAACTGACAACACATCTCACTCAGCATCGGATGCATTGAAGCACTGCCAATGAAGCTGAATTTCAATGCGATATGAATAGCTGTATGGGTTTGCTGCGTGTTCTAAGTATCCGTGTACAAGTTCTGCCCACGTTTTTCTGCAATTTCAGGCCTGGTTCTGTCCTGAACCGGGTGCAGGCACCTCAAATCCTCAAATAAATTCGCACGGCAGCATTGAGCGCTTGGCTGCCATTCTGAATAAAACGGACTTAAGTTGCGCCAAATAAAGCACACATCTTGTTGAGGGACAGCTAGATGATTCAAGCGGAATGAGACGAGGGTTGTGAAGTTTCAGCGCCTAGCAGGATGTCTTTCAAAAGAAAAACCGCAGGGAGAGAAGCAACTTAAATCCTCGCTGGAAGCTTACTAGTCGTCTTCATGACCATGTGACACAGAACGGCCTGCAAATGGGGAACATGGACAACATGCCTCCAGCGTTCTAGCACAGCAAAGCAGACGTGTTTTGCTGTCACAAGCTGATAAGCATAGCATGGTCCGCCGAGTTCTGCCTGAGGTTGCCATCGTGGCCCCCCCGATTTTCGGATCCTGAGTCGGTGTCTTGGCACCTTGCGCGATGCTCTAGGCGAGTCTTGCGGGGTGCCGTGTTAGCAATTGCCGAGCACGTGGCCAAAGTGCCACGGCGATCTGGACATCCAACATGAAGATATAAGGCTGGATCCGAGTGAGGACTGTCCTAACCTTTCGGCAACCGAGTTCTGTTGGAGACTGGGCCATTCATGACCATCGTGCAGTGCCGGTCACAAAATCGTGCGGGCTGCGAGAGCGAAGTAGAGATTCGCAGAAGGCCAAGGACGCCCATGGGTTCTGCTTGCAGGGAATTACCGTGAGCCGTTGCAGCTGATCTTTGAGGTCTTGGTCTCAATTGGATCTCCGTGGTTTCAGTGTTCTGCAAGGTACTGTAGCATTCCAGCCCTGTGCCAAACCCGACGTGTGTGTTTGTCCTCCACATAGTTTGTCTCGCTCGGATCATGGACGTGCTGATAGTGTGCATCCTCAATGGCCCAATAAGATGTTGCCTCTAGGTTTAACACATCAAGCACACCATAGCTTTTGCCGCCATGGTTAAGGTAGTTGCACCAGTGCGCAGCCCAGAACAAGCAACAGTACAATCGCATCACTCAACACCTGGTTCTAGCTGGCTCCTCTTCCCGGCTGGAGCCGAGTTTTGCGCTCACGTTTCCACTTGTTGACAAGATCGCACGCCCAGATTGCCCAGCTGAAGCAGCGCTATGCGCAGCTGATCCAGGAGGAGGGGAAGGGTGAGGTGCCTGGAAGTCTTCCTAACCTTAAAAAATACGTTTTGCAACCATTTGAAACATGTTGCTTTTTCAACACCAAAATCAAGGGGCGCGACACCATTTACAAGTTGCAAGGTTCAGGTGTATGCATCCGGATCCCAGTGAAAGGGCACAGAACCATAGGGAAAAGCTCACGATCCCTGGCGGAGGTATTCAGACCTTGAACAAGTTAGGCGTGGTTTCCCTTTGGGGGGACTTAGTGATGCAGTGATAAAGTGAGACATCACCCATGCACGGGTGAATGTATTGAAATCATTCTGTGTGACAACCAGTCGCAATGTTTTGGGAGGTTGTTGAAAGCACTTCAACTGGGACTGATGAACGTATGGTGGAGAGTGCTTGGACTGGTTCTAGGCGATGTTCTGTCTTTTGCACAGGAATTGCGCGATAGTACTTGTGTTTTCAAGAATGCAGGCTGTCCGTTTCAGAGCAAGTCATGTCTCACGGGACACTTCGCAAGAAGAGCATGGATTTCCCGTTTTGAGTCTGTGGCTTGCCCCCTTGCGCCAGCGCGACCAGCTGAAGAAGAGCTGAGCATCGCTGATCGGTTTAGATTTCCAGAAGGGTTGCTGCAGGTCCCTGGAGTTGAGGCATGTTTAAAGCCCTGGAAATCTACGGAAAGGATCCAAATGGTTTGGTTCTGGTTGGGTTACTTGTAAAGGTAAACCCGCATAGGCAGAAAGCGCTGGCTCGTGGCTGGCACAAGATCATGAGGCGATCGCAATCGCACCCAACAGTTTTTGGGTGGGTCCATCGGCAACCCTATGCAGTATAATTTTGACGGGAAGGCTCCGTGAAGAAGACACTTTCCAAAAGGAAAGGTGTCTTTGCGCAAGGCACTGGACACTTTCAGGTTTCTTGTTGGGAGGGCATCTGGACTTCAGACGATGCAAAGAACCGATTCTCGCTAAAGACAGCTCGTGAGATCAGCCTGCAATGCCGTTCAGGTATGATTGTCATTGAGCCAAGCATGCGCAAGCATGCACTTCTGTTTGTCGGGGTTTGGTTGCACATCGCTCGCGAAGCCAGTCTCACTTCTGGGTGTTGTGCAGAAGCGCATGCCCCCTTCCATTGCCATGGTGGCACGTCTGGTCCAACCGTACAAGCGGCTGAAAACACCAAGTTGCTGAACGTCGCATCCGGCAGTTGCGTTTGCAATGGCATTTTGCGGTATTTTGGAAAGTTGACTTGTTTGGATTTGTACGGGGGCGTGCTATAGAGGTTGCCAGCGATGCCTTAGTTTACGTTTGCCCATAGTTGACACTTGGTCGGGGATGAATCTTTGCAGGGCGTCGACCCTTCTGGAACGAGCGGAGCATCAAGTTTCGGGAGAATTCTGCGCAGTTTTGTTTTCTTTTTGGGGGTGAATTTCTTTGGAGTTTCACGGTTCGCCTGCCGCTGTTGGAGCGTTGGAGCGTGCTCAAAGTTCTTCAAGCCTTTTTCTCTTTTTTTGGGTTTTGGCATGGGTCCGGTTGCACGTCAACCACGAAAAGGAACACCTACGTTTCCTACATAGCTTCGCGAAAAGGAAACCTGTATCGCGTAAGGTATTACGAACAGTCGGCTCGCATTTACTTGTGAATTGTTTACTAGTTTCGACAAATACATGGGGATTGGTGCGAAAGCTCCTAAGGGGTGATTTAAAAATTGTAGTTTGTGGCTAAAGTGTGTGTAGAAAAATTATGATATAAGTTAAAATATATTTGAAAAAGTAATTGTTTAATATATTCAAGAATAGGGTAAATAAAATTGGATTTGTTGTAATTATTATATTGAATTTGTATTAAAAGGTAGAAGGTGGGATGTTATTGAATTATTTATAATTAATTTATATATATTGAGAATATATTATAAAATAATAATTGGTATTTATTATTTATATTATAAACTTTAGAGCCTCCGGCTCAGTCCGCCGACATTGTCCTCTCCCTTTTCTCCTTCTTCCTCTCTTCCTTGTCTCCCTTGTGTGTTCTGTCGTCCTCTCTCCCTCCCTCTGCTCCCATCCTCCCCATCACATCATTCCTCAGTCACACATCCCACTCCCCATCCTGTGTCTGGGGAATTATAAGAACGAAGGAAGATAACGAACGAAGAGAGAGGAGATATCACTTTAGGGCTGTTCTGGCCCAATTCTTGGTCTTGTTTGGTGGCTTTTCCACCGTCTCACATTGTTCGCGAGTGAACGAGTCAACTGGAAAGACGAGGAGCGGGTGGTATGCTGTCATTTCCTTTTCATTCATTTCTTATTACTTCTACATTTTGGAATATTCCTGTCATTAATAGCTTCCAAGATGAGAAAGACAGGTAAGGAATATGAAAGGGTGAGATGGATCCGTGAACGGGTAGGAAGTGAATGAGGGAGCCACAGGAAACCGAATGAAGGGTGATCCACATCTCTTATTCCTTCCCCATTATCCCCTTTCTGTTCTCTTTCTTTTCTATTCGTTTCTACATTAGAAGATTTGGAATGGTAAACAGATGAAAGGGAAGAGGTATGAAGAAACCCACTCACTTTATGGTCACTTTTTCTCTTTCTTCCATCATATCTACGACCGAGAGTTGGAGGGAGTTAGCAAAGACAAGGACCGAAGGGAAGTGTAACCTCTAGAAGCGACCAGACGGCGTAGCAAGGAAGGGAGTGAAGGTATGAATGAAGATGGCATGGCTCACTCTCTTTCCCTCTTCCTTTTCCTGTCACACATCTCTGTATCTAGGATAAAATGCCCTAAAGAAAACCATGAATTCTGGAAGGTAAGAAGTGTGTGACAGGGAAAAGTGGAAGAGTGTACACATGATTTCCTTCCTGCTCACCCTCCTCTCTGTCGTGTGACCGAAGGAAGCAATAAACGACAGGAAAGCTAATTCTCTTTCTCATGGACACTCACTCACTGTGGAATGAACCAGACAAGGGATGGTGAATGAAGAGACAGTGAGGAATGGAGTGTCCACTCTCTTCTTTCTCTTGTCCATTCCCTACCCTTTCCTTGCACCTCCTTCCTCTCTTCGTTCGTGTCTTGGAAAGACGAGGTGCCAAGGGTAGGATAATGCAAGGCCAGTGGCCGCCCTTCGTTCTCTTCTTTCCCTGTCCTCTCTCGCTTCTCTTTGAGAGTCTTGACAGGGAAGAACGAAGGGAACAGACCATACCTTCCTTTCCCGTCCTTTCACTCCGGTATCTTCACTATCCCATACATGACATCCCTACTAATCAAGAATGCTTTTACACTCTACCTCGTCCCTTCTGTTCCTCGCTTTTAAGAAGACCATCCTTGACCAAGGGAAAGTACATGAGGATGAGGTACAAAGAGAAGAATAACCAATAAACGAAAAGGAAACAATAAGATAAAAACCAGAAAAGAATACCATCAGATCACTTATCTCTCACTCTCTTGTCCTTACCTGTTACACCTTTTCTAATCTCTTTCTTTTCTATAATAATTCTATAATTGACTTCTTAGGATCACAAATATAATTATAATAATAAAAGAACAACATGAAAGAAATATGAAAAGGATTCTAAATTCTATCTTCCAAGCTTTCCTTTCCCTGTATCTTATTGTTTTTATTATCTTAGTTCCTCTTCATCATTACATCTGTGGTTTTGTGTCTCAGGAACTTGTCATTATTAATAAGAAATAGACTAAGGGTTATTACGACGTAAAATGAACAAATACAATATGAAAATGTAATTAAAAATGAAAAGACAAGCAAGGAAGATGGATTTTGGACAGCATTTAACCCTCGCCTTCGTCCCTCTGGGCTCACCTATAGTCACCCCTTCCACCGACCAAACACACGACAGAAGAGAGTGGGTGTGAGGTGTGAGATAGTCCCATCCAACCCTTTTATCTCTGCCGCTGGGTCTATTCTTTATCTCACTATCATTCATCCTAACCTAATGACAGCGGCGGTACACACATGATGAAGAACTAGAAATAGAAAGACACAATAAAGCTATTACAGATAAAGGAAGATGTAAACATAAGAAAGAAATAGATGAAAGAAAAGACAATAAATCTATGATAATAACCATAAAAACGAGAACTAATCTAGAAGCGACGGAAGGAGTAGAAAGGACAGTCTTCTTTCCATCTCATGCTCTCATCTATAACTCACTGTCCTTACCTCCTTCCTGTGTACTCACTTTCTAGTTCTGGTTAACTCTCCATCCTACGTGAGCCCATAGGCGAGAGAGGGTAGGATGGAAGGAGTTCTTGTTTGCTTCACTTTGTCT